GCTTACTGATTTTTTTTCTTTCTTGGATCTCATTACCATGAAAAAAGCATCCAACCAGGTTGCTCACATCAATTGTGGACACTGCCAATATAACATTAATGTATCCATATGGAGCTCCATCAGTTAAATGTGCTGTCTGTCAATATGTTACTAATGTTGGTGTAAGTATGATGAATTGATGCAACTTTCATTAGTGCAACTATTAAGATTTGCAGACTTAATTTGCTTGATAGTAGTCATTCCTTTTCTTCGTATCTTGTTGCTTGTTTTCTGATATACTAAGTCACATGATAAAAGTTTCAGTTTTCAAAATCTTTAAATTCTTTAGCAATATTTCTGTAGGTATTTGGTCCGTTTGTAAATGTCTTCATTTATTTGGTTTGTTCGAGGTTGCTGCAAGCTTCTTTCTGTTCTGATGTACAGAACATAATTATTTTTTCTTGTTTTTGTGTCTTCTGTCTATGCCTTCTCTCTTTCTCTCTCTAAGAGAATTGAACTTTGGGGCAATACCTCTCAAACTTGGTCTTACTTCCCAGCTTAACTAGTAGCAGTTGGTAGATTCAGGGCTGGATCAGTTTTAGCGGCAATCGGATCAGGTTCCTTTCCTGAAACAGGCTTTGGGGTGAATTTAGGTGTTGGGTCTCTTAGGCAAATTTAGGAATGGATAGGGCAATTTTTGTTGGTACCCCTTTCATTGCCACCCTGTTAATGGCCATTTACTTCTCAAATATGCAGAATTTGCAAATCCCTTCAGCCTGCTGAATATTTTTATTTATTTATTTATTTTTACAAACCGATATTTTAAACATATTAATATTTTCAAGAAATTGAATGCCCCTGGAGTAATATTCATATATTCTTAGAAAGCTTTGTCTTTGCTATTTCCCTTTGGAAGTGAATTAAATTATATTTAATCATAAGGATAAGTATTTATTCTTTGCTTATGTCCATGCAATAAATATTTTTGAGCACCTTTATGAGATACTGTTTATACATTTTTGTCTAGAGAAAATCTATTTAGTGCTCTACCTATTCTCACTCTCTATTTCTCATCTATCTTTCAGATAGGGAGGTTTTCACTTCCCGTAAACAGAACTATTGGGTTAACTGCAGCTGGGACTATGCCATCTACTTCAACAGTAAGTTCTTGAAGTTTGTTATTGTTTTCTATAATGAGAAAATATAGATGGTTTTGAATTATTAACTGTTTACTGAATCTAACATTTTGCATCTAATGCCATGTTCTCAGAGCCAATCAGTTGTAGTTGAGAACCCTATGTCTGTTGACGAGAGTGGCAAATTGGTAAGCGTTTTGGTTTTAACTGCATATATTTATTATTTGTGCTTTTCATTTTCTTTAGCTTTTATAAAAGTTGAAAAGGGGTTGGAGGAGGAAAAAATTGCTGATAAAATTGTGATATTGCAGGTGAGCAATGTCATGGTTGGTGTAACAACCGGAAAAAGTTGATCCAATGAGATCTTTTAGTTTGGCTGGTCTTTGCTTGAGGAGAATGTAAACAAACATTGGTTATAATTGCCAGAAAATTGGTTTTGTACGTTATGGTGAAAATGGAAATTCCATTAACACTAACTTTTAATGAATTGTTTCTGTGTCCATGTCCATGATGAGGTAGGGAAAATGTGTGATGTACATTTTGTGTCTTAGAAAGATGGATAGTGTCATTTATATTATTTGAGAAAGTGAAATAATGTTTGCTCCATTTGCAGTTTAGCTTAGTGAATATGTTTATCTACTAACATATTTTCTCTGCTTCTATTCAACCTCTCTTCCCTTAACTATATGCCTTTTTATGTATATATATAAATATATATATATGTTGGCGAGTTTGTCTCACTTGAAGTTGCACTTAAAGGTAAATCTGAGATTTCTATTATGAAAACAAGAAGAAAGGCTTAAACCTTATTCAAGTATAGGAGCAAATTAAAGAATAAGGCTGACAAAGTTATGAGTTATATTTTTTAAATTGTGATTGGTTAATTGTAATACAATGCTTGTAGGTGATATATTATTGAATTATATGCTATCTTTTGCCCTACTTGAAGAAATATAGGTAAAAAAAAAATGGCTATAATCAAATTGCAACAAAATGCAAACATCAAGTTTAAGGTTACTAAAGCTTCTTTAACAAAAGAAAAAAGTTACTAGAGTTTTAGTTTCTTGCTATGCTTGGCTTGGGGAGGTTGAATTAAACACTACCCTTACATGTAAGCCAAAATTTTTATCCTCATCAATGTTACAATCCATACAGGTGCAACTTAACATTATTATAAAAACAGAAGCGATACCATACTGTTCTAATTCCTTCACCATTCATACAAAACCACAGGACAAGTGACAAATGAAAGTAAAAACGACAAACAGTGGACAAAAAGTAACAGCAAAGCGACAAACAGTTGAACAAACGTATAAAAAGATCATAGCATTTCAGATTTGAAGTTTGGTGTTTGAGTTTGAGCTTTTAGGTTTAAGGTTCTAGGTTTTTTTTTTTTTTTTTAAAGTTTTTTGGTTGATTAGGAGGTAGAGGTGGTAGTTCTAAGAGGATTTTCAGAAAGGCAAGTTCGGAAGAGTTGAAAATAATGCGTAGGATACTCCGCAGCGAGGCACGAAGTGCTGATTGGAGAGTGGCATATGAAACATATTGACACAGAAGATCCATAGAACATATGTGTATAAGCATAGGGAAATAGAAATTAAGCAAAATTCTGATTCTTCTTCATTCACACAACACAATGAATACAATATTATCTCATTTCTCACTAGCACTCAGCAGTTGTTTGTTATCTCGAAACAACAGAATTAAGCAACCCATCAGAGGCCAAGAGGAATCCCATAAATCTTTATGCCCAAACCACCCAAGGAATCAGCAACAAAACAAAAGCAAACTCCCTATTCAAGCAACCAGCATCCGACCTCCGCCTATCACCCTTCACCTCCCCCACCGGCTCAAACATTGGAGGTGGCGGCGGTGGCGGTGGGGCAATGCCATGGACAAGGCCAGCATCACCACCGTAGACAGTGTAGTTGAGGAGTGCGGCAATGCCGTGGACAGCAATGGCTGATGTGAGGTAAAGATCGGGGTAGGAAATCCGCGAGGCATCAAGAGTGAAGTTGGAGAGGGACCTGTTGGTTATGAGGATGGATTTGGAAGGAAGCAAAGTAGGCAACCGAGAGAAAGGCTTGAAGAGGGTGAGTTTGAGAAAGTGAGGCGTTGCGGAACAATGTGGTAAGGGACGACAAAAGGTCAAAGGAGGCGGCGGTGGTGGAGGAAGTTGGGACTGGGAATGGGAAGAAAGAATCATCAGAAGGGACAAAAAGGGTAGCTGAAAGTGGAAGCATGAGGAGGTCGTAGGCCGAAAGCATGTTTGCCCAGTTGTTGAAGTCGCCAGCTCCAATGAGAGCGTCGATTATGTTGTTAAGTTGATGCTGATGTAGCGGAGGAGGTGGTGGTGGAAGAGGCCGCAGATGGTGGTGTTCGGCAGCAAAAGCAGAAATGGAAAAGAGAAAGAGGAGAAAGAAGAGAGGGTATTTAGTCATGACTCGTGAGATAAAGAAAGACACGGAGTGGTTTTGGTTTTTGTGATAAACGAAGATTATGGTATCCAATACTAACTGACTCCCTCACTCATAACTAACTCTTCCCGCCAAAACTCCTATGCTGGAGTGGCATTATTGTAATTATGAGATTATGATGGGGGCCCTCTTGGTTGCATATTCCTAACAGCATTTTGAATACCATGCACAATACACTCCACTCTCCTTTGATTTCCGTTTTTTTTTTTTCAACTAATTATTGTATATAATTAATATCATAATTGGCCTTTGTATTTTAAGAAAAAATTTTAATGTGATACCTCTATTTTTAAAATATATAATATGATATCTATACAATTATTTTGTATGTCAATTCAATACTTGAAATTAGCCTAAGCCAAGTCGAATCCACCTCAAAGGAGCAATGGATTCGACCTAATTTAAAACAATTTTGACTTGTTTTAGGCTGTTGCCAATATAAATATAACACAAAGGAATTTAAAATTTTTCAATTTTCAAAACTAAGGATCATAACTTGATATCATTGAAAACAAACATACAAGGCAATTAGCAATGAAAAAAATTGTTTTTCTTGTCTTCATTGATTCGTCAAACACAAATTCACCAAGAACATCAAGTTAGATTGTAGCAAACTATCAACTGTCTAAGTATCTAGTGTATAATAGTAGTCCACACCAATAAGAGTGATAACAAGAAGCTTGCCAATTTCCATATATGTTAGTAGAAATATTGATTGCCTTTATAGTTTTCTAGATTTTGCTTGACTCATGAGATTGAATGAATTGTATAAGGAAAGTAGTGGTCAAGCCTTTTTAAGTGGAGGAACTGTTGATCTAAGCTTACTCAAAATAGGTCTTGGATCTTTAACTATTTTCCTTAGAATTTTAATTTATTTAATTTAATTATATATTCAAGTTTCTAATTTCTTTTAATTAGGTAAAACTTAATGTTACCCAATTTAATTTTTTACAAGTTACATCTTTTATTTGTGTGATCCGTTAAATTTTTTAACATGTTAATAATAAATATAAGGATTGTAATTCTCAATTGATTTGGATTAGATGAATCAAACCATTTGAGTTCATCATTAATTCTTCAATTAATCAATTTTATATTTATAAATTATGATTGTAATCTAATAATGAGTTAAGATCATAGTTGTTAATTTTATTTTGGTATTGATCGTATCGGTCGATACGCTATAGTTATATCAAAATATAACACACTTAAAGATAATTTTTCATACTGAATTTAGTATCGAGTAATATCAGTTGTTCCCGTTAATTTTACCCTATTTCGGTAAATTTTGATGGAATAACATATTTCGATCGATACGTAAATGTAAAATATATTTTATAATATTTAACTTATTTTTTGTTATTTAATTATTTTTAACCTAATAAAAATAAAATTAATTTATAAAATAACTCTTAAAAATTGAGTTTCTTTTATCTTTTAAAATTTTTTTATATTTTATTTTTTCAAACTTAAGTTTATAAGTATTTCAATTTTTTTCAAGAAAAGCAATTATACTCTTTTATAAAGTTTAACAATTATAAAATCTCGATTAATTTTTTTCATTTCTTTGTTTTTATCTTAATATTTATATAAAAAAATACTTATTTAAATATCATATGATTAGATTAATTATTTAAAAATATAATGAAAATTATATGATATTATTTTTTGTATTTTTAAATTTATTTATTTGATTTTTGAATATATTGCATTTTTATTTTGTATATTATTAATAATATTATAATGTGTAAGTTTATGAATATTTATAAATATATTTGTATTAAATTAAAAAATCTAAAATAATATACTGAAATAATTAATATCGATAAATATTGTATTTTTTAAAAAATTGAAACGTTATTTGGTATGATATTAAAAATCTTGGTTAATACCACTTAATTGTTAAGAAAAACCAATAAAATTTGATTAATCTACTTGTGTTTAGTTAATTTTTTAATATAATTATTATCTTTTTTCATTACTTAATATCTCAATTTAATATTTAGTTTGAATTAATGTCTACCCAATTAGTTTAACCCTTTTAAGTTTGGAGTTGAACAATTAACTTCCTTGAATAAGCATATTACAACTTTCTATAAATTATTGTAATTTCCTTCTAAAGCATATATATTCTATGAGTTTTATCTAAAAAGTAAATAATATAAAATAATATACTAACTTGAATGTAAAGAATACCTTAGCTAATAAAAGTAATATTTAACGACAAGTGGTTGGTTCAATCGGTTAGACTTATCCTCCTCGATGAAGAGATTTTGAGTTCGAATTCTGTCGGTGGTCACTTGTTAAGATCATCTTGAATGCATAATTTACAGTCACTTATCTTAAACTGTCAGGTATAATATATTTTATTCTGAATTAAGAAACTGAGTAACTTATCTATCTTCGAATTTTTTTCATAAAAAAAAATTTAGCATGATATACATAAAAGAACTAGTTCAATTAATTTTAGGGCATACATCCCAAATAGGCATATATCCTATTGATGCGAGGGAGAGAGAGAAAGGAAGGGAGGGAAGAAGAAAAGAAAGAAAATGAAAAATAAAAATAAAAACTTTTTAAATTTTGTTTTTAAAAAATAAAAATGTAATTTTTTAAAAAAAATTATTCTTTTCAAAAATAGAAAATAATTTTTTAGACATTTTGAAAATTTTAAACAATGAAATTTAAAATGATGAGAAATTAAGGAAAAAGAAAAATTTTTAAAATTTGTAAAATCTTAAAAAATAAAATTATCCTTGGATAATTTTGGGGTTAATTTTTTGAGTATTCAAATTTAATTTCTTTCCCCCAAGTCAGCTTTATGAGTTGTGTAATTGGATATCCTGATCTTACTTACTCGGGTCGGGTGGCGTAGGTATCCAATTATAAGATACGAATCGCAAATGCTATCTCTGACTTTCACTCAGGGCTGAGCTGCGCCATCACAGACCCAAACCAATCCGGCGTACGTCTTTACTCTCTCATTTCTTTAGTTTCCGTTCTCAACAGCTTTGAAAAGAAGATGCAGGTAATTCTCCCCAATCCAAACCCTAGTTTCCCTTCTTGATTAATAAAAAGATCCATTCATAATCTCCCCTAAACTCTAAACCCTAAACTTGTTTATATGTTTACCTCTTACTCTTTGATAGTTGTTGTCAGGCAAGCGATAGGTTTAACATCAATTCCCAGCTCGAACATCTCCAAGCAAAATACGTTGGAACCGGCCATGCTGATTTGAATAGATTGTCAGTTTCTATCCATTTTTCTTTCCTTCTAATTTCTGTAAAAGAAATGTTGCTAAGACATATTTTGGTTGGTTGAATTTGATGGCAGTGAATGGGCGGTGAATATTCAACGCGATAGCTACGCATCGTATGTAGGGCATTATCCAATGTTGGCTTACTTTGCTGTGGCTGAAAATGAATCCATTGGCAGAGAACGCTACAACTTCATGCAGGTTAAACATATATTGGCTCTTTTTGTTTGGTATTTTTTGAATTTATGAGATTAATGATTCTTTCCTTTGTGTCTATTTGTTTCTGGGTTTGGAAATTCACGGGATATAGATGTATGGGTGCTTTTTAGTTATTGGGATTGACTAAACAAAATGGTTATTTTTTTTTTTTGTTCCAAAAGACTAATAGCTTTAACGACTTTAAAGAGATTTATTTGGTTAAATCTGTAAGTTCTCCAAGGATGGGGTAAATGGGTTGAATGTTTGCCCTACGTGGAACTAAATTATAGGACTTCATTCTTGTTGTTGAGTGCAAATAGTTGGGATGGTGTTTCGTTGAGTTTCTTTTTTAGTGTTTTCTGGGGTAGTTCCATTTCTAACCGGTATGCTTAGAGGAGATTGCACATCTTGAAATGCACACCACGTTGCCTTTCACTAGTTACCCTTACTAATGAACATTACTAGGTACATCCTATGCCATAGACGGGATTCTTCGATGCATTCTGGAGTTACTAATGGCTGTTCTGAGTGGCATCCTCAAAATTTGCATTTATCAAGTGTGCGGAGTAATTAGTCCCTTTTGGGTATTGATCCTGAGCTCCTGTCATTCCCTATTAGTTGTAGGGATGATTCTAATTTATATAGTCTTTACTAAATGATGAACTAAAATTCAACATCTTGGTCTGATAAAGGAGTTTCGTTCTATTTGTTATGTTTAGTGACATTACATACAGTATGAGAGCAAAGTCTTCTCTCTCTTTTAATGTGCGTTTGTGCATATGCAGAACCGCAAGTTCTCCATTAGTACTTCTTCTAAGATACGGACTTTATTTTTTCTTGATGTCACAGATGAATATTGTATTGTTAGACGTTGCGTGGTGCGGATGGCTTGACTGCCTTCTTCTTCTTCTTCTTCTTTTTTTTTTTTTTTTACCTTTTCTGGTTTTGAACTTTAGTTTAAGGTATAATTGTTTGTGATCTTTATGTACAGAAAATGCTTCTGCCTTGTGGTCTGCCTCCGGAAAGAGAAGATGATTAAAAACTGCTGCTTTGGATATGAAGTGAAATGTTAGGAAGTCCAAGCTCTTCCGAGCTTTTCCGATGAGGCTGGGGAGTTTCCTAATTGAATATCCATAGATATTGTGTTTGTCTTGAAGTATGAAGTTACGTAATCACAGATTTTGGTGAACAATGACCTAACATTGTAGCCTCTATTTTGTCCCTTAAAAAAACTGCGTCTGTTCCTTGCATTGCATCTCAGTTTACCACGTTCTAAGTAACAGATGTACCTATGGAAAGAGTAGCATGAAAGTAAGAAAGATCGAGTCAAACTATGGGAAGAGGCATTGCAAACCAATAATTCATCAGTTTCTTTAAGATGGATGTGATTAAAAGAAAAAAGGGCATCATGACATGAATAGGTAGAGTCTTCCTCCCATGATAATAGCTGTTTACAACCTGAAAACATCATTTAAGTTTGCAAAAAACCACATGTTTAAACCAAAGAAATTTCTATGTATGTGCACGCAAAGATCCATTATGCAAACAGTGAGACAATTCTCATTCATGTGAGGTCATTTTCATCCAGTGCTTCTTCATCTTTACCAGCATCAGTCTTAAACGCGCCAACATCACCAGTAGGCAGCTTTCTTGCAAGCTTTATGATCTGCATCCAATTTCATTCAAGTCATGTGTGAAATTCAATGAATTGCAAGTCAGAAGACCCTCTTAACCACAATGTAAGGATTCTACTTTGTAAAGAAATCATAGCAGAGGAAAATTGTTCAGCCGGGTCTTTTTCCGTCTTCGTTGCATAAAAGAACAACTGATATTCACACGTGAGTTGAGACACAAAGATGTGTTGAGTCCAACATCACATACAGTGCCAGGTTGTCTGAAAAAGTTAAAGCCTATATTCTGGCATAGATAGAAGAATGAGACACTCAATCTGAATCTGATAGACATGTGAAACATCATTATAAAGCTTTTGGGTGCGTGAAGAACACAATGATGTCAAGAAGAAAAAAAATTTTTGAATGAAAGGAACAACAGGACTGTTTGCAACAGTTTCATTGGCACTGCATGCCTATTTCTAAAAGAGTTGCTCAAAATAAGATCCAACAGTCACCCACAAGCACATTTAGGTCATTTAAGATAAGGCCAAAGTTATAAATGTTATTCAATTCTTGGCATTAGAGGTTTTAAGTATCACCAAAGATGCACAGTTTTAGGCATGTTAGAACCATCCATGATTGCATAAATCAGATCTATCTTAGATATGTGATTTAACCCACTGTAGCATTCAGAAGATGAAATGTCCTAACAATATCATTTACATTGTTACAAAAGAGGAACATGCATTTCCAAAAACAAAGGTGCAAATAGTAAAAAAGATTTACCACATTGTCAAGATTGGAAATAGTACTCGACTGAGCTACACGTTTGATTTCTTCTACATCACCTTCTGTACAAGCAGAAAGAAGTTTACTAGCACAGCGGTTCTCATCACTTCTTAAGAAAGCATCAATTCTGAAAAGAACCAAGACAATACTATTTTAGATCACCTTTTGTCAACAGAAAAGTTATTATACGGTATAAAGATAGACCCCAAAAAATCATAATTGTGTATTATCGAAAAGAAACGGGAAGAAATAATTGTGTGAGTTTGACTAATCGAGAAACAAGTTGATATCTGATTACAGTAGCAGTAAGTTTCCACTATTGTAATTCTATTGCGTTTCTTTATTTGCCTATGCAAACCTATTACGTGACCAAAACACTGAATAGACATCCATGGAGACAAGAGAGAGGAGAGGATAGAGAAAGAAAAGAATAAGGATAGAATGTGCACCACCATAATTTAGTAATAGTAAACACAAAGTTTCCTAAGTCATCACTAATAAGTGAATGGCTATTTGCTAATTGGTTCCAGAAATTATTTTCTTCGGGGTAAAGGAAAGAACCGTTTAACAAGAAAAGCAATTTACAATTTCACTAAAGTTGCAGGGCAGACAATCAATGCTAATGGTTAGATGCATTTGATAGACTATAGATGAGATTCACGTTGAGAATAATCTCAGATAGAAAACAAACACCCAACATGCCTTTAAGATAATTTTATCTTAGTGTTGAAGACATTATGCAAGGTTTTTTTCAGTTGCTGGGAAGTAACTCTTACTTGCAATGCCTCGTATGATAATGATGAGTACCTATATATTTATCAAAAGATTGTTTTGCTAACAAGATCAGCTACTTGAGAGCCATTCATCACATCCCAAAATTAGTAGATGTATGAGTACTACAAATGCATCAATACAAGAGGTTCAAAAGGTTGCTGAGAGAGAACTGCACTTACTGAGAACAGTCATTGTAGCACTTTTCTGCTTGTTTCAAGTCATGAGCATAAAGATACACAATAATTGCACTAAGGTACGCCTGAAATTAAAAAAATTATACATTAGAGTTTATATACTGTTATCATAAAAGCTTCCCTTCAATGAAAAAAATTGGTGCAAAAAAAGTAAAAAGAACAGTAGCCACATCTGCACCAGACGCAAGAAAGTGAGATTTATTAAACCGCATGGTCCCCCAAATCTATAATGCCTCATTGGATTAAATTTTTATCACACATATACAAGGGTATAGTTTGTTAGAGGTAGCACTGAAACAAAAAAAAATCCAAGTAGAACTGTGCACTACACACCACTTAATTGAAGTAGGAACCACTATATTAGGTTATTATTTTGCTCCAGGATGTAAGTTTCAAAGTACTTAAAATCTGATTAAGATGTCAGTTTCTTGGTGAAACAACTCTCAGTTTATACAGAAAAATAGGTATTATGCCAAATCCTCAAGGATCAACAAAAAATAATTGGGAAATTTGATTTAGAAAGAGTTTTCTTAATCTGCATACCAAGTCAAACATAGACATTCAATAGACAAAGACAGACAGAGAGTATTGTAAACGGTTTTAGTATATAGCATTAAAAAATTTTATTTAATTCTGAATTTATATAAGACATTGGCCCCCAAAACTAAAAATCCTGCTTTCATCCTTGCTAAGAAGTTAACAAAAACATAAAATAATTCTTTTATCTCCTACTAGCAACATTAATGAAGAGAGAAAGAGTTGGGCTCATGAAATATTCTGAATAAAGAACCAAAAAGATGTGTAATTGAACTAAACTGTCAGTTAATGAAGTCATAAAGCATTTTAACACCGCAGACTCCTAAAGGCATGCAGGGATGTAGAGAGAAGTCAGCGATATTAGGAGCATCAGCGAAATGCAAAACAAGGGGAAAGGAATGGGAAATGAATGGATATCTAGTAATACTGGGGAAATAGTTTGGGTGCAAAATATGAAGTCAAACCTTAAACTGACTATTTTTAGCATTGCACTTGTCAGCTGCTAGGTCCAATCTCAAAAGGAAAGTTGCAGCATCTGTGTACCTGAGGATAATAAAACCATAAACTATGCCTATTCATATAAGGTTTGCATACACATATAAACAAGGTAATTGCCTATGACAGATCCTTCAATTAAACAAAGGCCAAACATTGGCTTGAAAGATAATAACATCACAATTTACAAGCTTCAGTCTAATCAACCTGAACTCCCTAGTTCCAGGCATGAGAACAAAGCAGCAGAAATGAATTTAAAAATCCTTTAGCAATAAAGATATGTAAATTTAACTATGAATTAATGATTACATGCTCGCAAAAACAAATTCTATGGTCCATTTTTTGTTCTTTTTCATCTTTTATTCTAAGTAACAGCACTATTATAATTTTACGAATATATCAGAGCATATGATGTACAAAGGTGTCACTTTCATTTGCTCAATTGTATAAATAAGGATTTAATATAAGTATTGTATTGTATCTCAAACTATTAAGAAGAAGCAAACCCATACTTTTCAAGTCTTACGTAAATACTAGTGGCAGCACGATATAGATCAAAGGCCATTTGTTCCTTTCCATCGTCTTCGAGAATAGCACAAGCATCAGTGTATAGTTGAATGGCATCGTCAGGCAAAGCATCCTCCAAAGAACTACAAAAGAACAAATACTAAAAGAATTAAAAAAGAAATTGTGGTTGTGATACAGTTTGTGATATGGCAGGTAAGATATATTGATGCATGAGAAACAAAGACAGAATTAGAAAAAAAAAAAAAAGGTTTCTTCAAGTGATAATTGATTACACCAATTAATTTACAACTATTAAGCAGAAAGGCACCATGAAATAAATACACATATAACACAAACAAAAACAACTCACATCCTTGCATGAATATTCATTTGAATGCATATTCGCATAGGTGATTTATCTTCTTCTAGTTACCAATAATAGTTACATATTCATGTATCTCCATTCCCTCTCTGCATCTTAACAATAAAGAGCAGGTTTTATAAACTTGAAAGAAGAGAAAAACTAGGAGTGAAGCACAATTCTTTGCTGGAATCTGTGAATTCTAAAATTTAGAAAATTCCACATCCACATGTTTGGGCTATGCTTCTTCAGAAGCAAGGCTTTTAGAGACAATTAAAAGATTGAGTACTGCAATTTATTTAAATTCGTTGATTTTTAATTGGGAGACCCAAAATGAGATTCTAATGTTTCCTCACTGTTTTCTCTTCCTCCAACTCTTCTTGTTTCTACTGCTTCATCCTCCTCTTCACCATCCAATTCTTAGATTTTGTGCCTTTTAATGGCGAGTCTCAAAATGAACGCTATTGTTGTTGCGCCTGAAACAATAATCACAACAATACAAAAGCAATAGACAACAATTAATAATAAAAAATGCAGAAAAAATAAAGCACATCAAGATTTACGTGGAAAAACCCTCTAGTGTAGAGGGAAAAAACCACCGACCACCAGAAAAAATCTTCACTATCAAATAATAGTATACAAAGTTTTTTCTAGCTAAAACTAGAGCTAATCAACAACTAGAGAAACAATTAGAGAAATCTCATCAAATAAATGACTCAACAAATACACCATGGATTTGTTCCTAGAGAGCTAAAAACCCGATTTTCACCATTCAGAATGAGAATGTAGAACTCTGAATCATAAACCTCCTGACAAGGTTCCAACTCAATCGGACCACAGATCGACTTCCGTTCAACCAACTCTCCCTTCTCCTTTTTCTCTCTGCTTTTTCTGGTTTTTCTTCTTTCTCTACTTGGTTTTTGACACCCACCTAAAACAACCCCACCTCTTTTTTATTAAGTAGCTAGGGCTCTGTGTAAAATGAAAGATCAAGGCCCATGACCTTTACTTGATCTAAACCACTTACATGAGGCTGGACCCTATTTTTTTAACAATCTTCCCCTCCAGCCCCATTAGGAGGAGATTCATCATCATAACAGTTTCATTTGGAACTTACATTGGCCAGGGAACTCATTCTGGCCAAGTACTGTAAAGCTCAAGCTTTTCCTTGAAAAGTATCTTAGTCAACATATCTGCTACATTCTTATCAGTATGAACTTTTTTCAATAACATCTACTGTTCTTCAATCACTGAACGTAACCAATGATATCTAACATCAATGTGTTTTGTTTTAGTATGGTACATGGTATTCTTACTCAAATCTAAAACACTCTAGCTATCACAAAATATCACATACTCTTTCTGATTCAACCTCAATTCAAAAGAAAACGTTTTATCCAAAGCATTTCTTTACATGCTTCAATTGCTGCAATAAACTTAGCCTCTGTAGTTGACAAAGTAACACACTTCTGCAACTTAGATTGTCAAGATACAGCTTCTCCTGTAAAAGTGAACAAATACCCTGAAGTAGATTTCCTACCATCAAGATCGCCTGTCATATCAGCATCAATAAACCCTTCTAGAACTGGTTGTAAATCTCCATAAGTCAAGCACATTTTTGAGGTACCCCTCAAATATCTAAAAATCTATTTCACTGCTTTCCAGTAAATTTTCTCGGATTAGAAAAAAATTTGCTCATTACACCAACTGTATGAGCAATGTCAGGCCTTGTACAAACCATAAGATACATTAAAGAATCGACTGCAGAAGAATAAGGAATACTAGACATAGTTAGTTGCTCTTTCTTAGACACTGGACAAGATTTTTTACTTAGATGAAAGTGGTTAGTAAGTGAACTGCTAACTGATTTAGCATGTTGCATGTTGAATCTACTAAGCACTCGTTCAACATATTTTTTCTGTGACAACCACAGCTTTTTAGCTCTCCTATCTCGGATAATGTTCATACCAAGAATTTACTTTGCTGGACCTAAATCTTTCATATCAAAGGACTTAGACAATTGTTCTTTCAACCTGTAAACCATACTAGCATCTTGTCTTACAATCAACATATCATCAACATATAATAATAGGATAATGAAGTTACCATTAAAAAATTGTTTAACATACACACAAGAATCATCTGCTATTCTTTTATAGCTATGACTCATCATAAAAAAATCAAACTTCTTTTACCACTGTCGCGGAGCTTGTTTCAAGCCATACAAGTTTTTCTTCAATTTGCAATCTAAGTGCTCTTTTTCTTTCATTTCAAAACCTTCAGGCTGATTCATATAAATGTCCTCCTGTAAATCACCATGCAAAAATATAGTTTTAACATCAAGTTACTCAAGCTCAAGATTCAAATTAGCTGCTAATTCCAGTACCACTCGAATAGAACTCATCTTTACAACTGGAGCAAAAATCTCATCAAAATCGATGCCTGATTTCTGAGAAAAATCTTTTACTACTAATTGAGCTTTGTACCTCACTAGTTTGTCATCATCTTTTTTCAACTTGAACACCCATTTATTCTTTAATGGCCTTTTTCCTGTTGGAAGTTTAACAAGATCATAAGTACCATTCTTTCGCAATAACTCAATCTCTTCTTTCATTGCTTTTAACCAGTGCTCTTTATCCGAAGTAGCCTGTACATTTTGAAAGCTTTTTGACTCCCTTTCATTGATAACTAAAATAAAATCTGAACTTGGATACCTGGTAGATGGCTTGCGCTCTCTAGTAGCTCCCTTTGCTTAACACTCTCAGGTAGAGAGGATTACTCCCCTTGCTCAAAACTAATTGCATCTGGTTCATCACCAATTGTGGTTGGCTCATTCATATTCTCAAGTTCTGTTTCTTGCTCATTTTCACCATCTGTGGCTCTTTCTTGTGGAATCTCTGTCGGTGTTGAAACATCACACTCAACAGTAACTCGTGTAGTCTTCTCATTTTTTTTCAAGATCTGCTATGATTTTTTTTTATGAAAGACCACATTTCTATTTTTAACTATCTTTTTCTTTATTAGATCCCATATCTTGTAACCAAATTCTTCATCACCATATCTTACAAACACATACTGTGTGGTTTTACTGTCAAGCTTTGATCTTTGCTCTTTTGATAATGCATGAATACTTTACACCTAAAAATTTTTAAGTGAAAGTATGAAGTATCTTTTTCTGTCCATACTCTTTCTGAAATGTCAAAGCCCAAAGAAATTGATAGTGATCTGTTAAGTAAATAACAAACCGTGTTAACTGCTTCACCCTAGAATGGCTTTGATAATTTTACCATCCTCAACATACATCTGACTTTTTCTACAATGGTACGATTCATTCTTTTAGCTATATCATTATGCTACGGTATTTCAGGTTCTGTCATCTTATGCCTGATCTCATGCTTTGAACAATACTCTTTAAAGCCTTTAGATGTGTATTCCTCATCATTATCAGTTCGAATATATTTCAAGGATAATCATATTATCCTTTCAACCATGGCATGAAATTTTTAAAAATATCGCAGTACCTGACTTTTGTATTTCAACATATATACCCAAGTCTTACGTAGAGCATCATTAATAAAAGTAATAAAATATCTGCTACCATCTAATGACTCAACCTCAATGGGACCACATATGTCAGAATAAATTAATTCCAATCTATTTTTTTTCTCTGAAACTTTTACGAAAAGAAACTCTATGATGCTTACCAAACAAATAATAATCACATGAATCGAGAGACATATATTTGGTCAAGGGAATAAGAAACTGTCTTGCCAAAACTTGTAACCCATTTTCACTCATGTGTGCCAGCCTCCTGTGCCACAAGTTTGCTGAAGCATGATTTTCAACGACATTTACCTGGTTACCATTCAATTGCATCATGTCTTATACATTGTCTTGCATAGTTTTCTCCTTGTAACTATCATAGATCCTTTGAGAAGCTTTCACTATCCATTCTTTTTTCAGCTTTCATATCCTTTCTTATCAAAGACATTAATAGCAAGCAAGTTCATTCTCATATTTAAAATGTGTCTGATATCTGTTAAAGTCAACATGCAGCCTGTACTAGTTTGTACAATAATATCATCAATCCTAACAGTCTACGACACACTCTTATTTTTCATCTTGGTACAACCAAAGTCTCTTACTTTGTAACTTGTAAACAACTCTCTCTTAGGAACACAATGATATGTCACTCTTATGTTCAACTATCTACTCAATATCGGGATCACTAACATGATTACAATCACTATATGTATAAATCAGACTAACTGAATCACTATCTGAATTCACTGCTGCAACATTTCCATCATTTAAACTCTTACCTTTCTCATATTTTTGCTCTTGCTTTAAGATTTTACAGTTTCATTTTATATGACCTACCTTATCACAATAGAAACATTCCACTTTACCTCTAGACTTGGATCTATGTTTAGACTTATCGCGGTCTTTTAAGTCCTGACTTCTGTCGATGTTTTTACCCCTGTTCTCTGTGACTAGAGCTTGATTTCCAGGGTCTACATCTTTTCGCCTTACTTTTTCATTAAGCATACTATCCTTTACCATTTCCAATATCACCTTATAATCAGGAGCTAAATTAAGAACAGTCACAACTAGAGTATTTTAGCTGTCTGGCAATGAACCCAAAAAAAAATAACGCCTTCATTTCATCATCTATCTTAAACTCCATAGTAGTCATCCGATTAAATATATATTGAAAATCACTCAAGTGTTCTGTAACAGATCGTCCATCCATGTATTGTAAAGTTGCAAGCTTTTTAATAAGCATAGTTTTATTCATACCTATTTTTCTCTCATACAATGTTGTCAATTTTTCTCAAACAATGTGAGCATCTGACTCCTGCGTTACATGATGGAACATACTGATATCAACCTATTTTTTGATTATAGCCAGTGTCTTTCTACCTAGCTTCTTCCAGCTTTCATCTTTCATATTTGCTGGTTTAGCCGAATCACCCAATACTGGACTCATACAAATCTTTGCAGTATAGATTATCTTCCATCATAGGCTTCCAAATTGAATAATTCGATACTGTCAATTTTATCATGGAACCTGTATTACCCTTCATGATCTCAAATAAAATTTACTTCTATCCTGGGTTGCTTCTGTATCGATGTCTCAAAATAACCCTTATTCTGATACCACTTGTTGCGCCTGAAGCAATAATCACAACAATACAGAAGCAATAAATAACACTCAATAATAAAAAACGCAAGAAAAATAAAGCACACTAAGATTTACGTGAAAAACTCTCCAGTGTAGAGAAAAAAAATCACGGACCACTAGAAAAAATTTTCACTATCAAATAATAGGTATACAAAGTTCTTCTCTAGCTAAAACTAGAGCTAATCACTAACTAGAGAAACAATTGGAGAAATCTCACCAAATAAGTGACTCAACAAATACACCCTAAATTTGTTCATAGAGAGCTCCAAACTCGATCTTCACCGTTCAGAATGTAGAACTCTGAATCATAAACCTCCTGATAAGGTTTCAACTCAATCGGACCACGGATCGACTTCTGTTCAACCAACTCTCCCTTCTATTTTTTCTCTCTGTTTTTCTGGCTTTTCTTCTTTCTCTACTTGATTTTCGACACCCACTTAAAACAACCCCATCTCTTTTTTATTAAGTAGTTAGGGCTCTATGTAAAATAAAAGATCAAGCCCATAATCTTTACTTGATCCAAAACCATTTATATGAAGCTAGACCTCATTTTTCTAACAACTATTTCCTATTTATTTCCATTTTGAAGGCTATTAAAACTCTTAATTTGTAGCCTTCAAGGAGCCCTACTCTTAATTTGTAGCCTTCAAGGAGCCCTATTCATCTTAAAACCCACTTTCCTTCAACATAACCCAGTGCCTATAGATTTTTTATAAAATTTTAATTAAAAAAATCCAGTTTTGCTCCGTAGTTTTCATGAACTTGCTTTTTGGTGCATAAACCTCAAAATGTTACTAATGCCATAATAACCTGGAAAAAGATGAAGATTCAACTATATTATTTACAATAAGCAAGAAAATATCATGAAACAATCTGAAACACATGAATGTGGTTCTAACTATTAATTACTAGTGTTTGACAGACCATTCAAATCAAATAGCATATTCATACATCCATAATGAGGCACTAAAAGAAAACCCATAATGGAATTGGAAAGCTTTAACGATTTGACTTCAGTTGACCATATAAGATCAAGAAAAAAAAACTTTTAAATTAATATATATTTAAAAAGTCAAATTAATATATTTATGTTATTTATAATAATTTTTTATACACTACAATATGATTAAAATAATTACATTTTTAATTATCATATATTTATAGTATACCTATATACATATGATCTAGAATAAATTATTTAATTTCTTATAATTACATATGGGTATCATATGATGCAATTTAGATTTAGAATAAAATATATAAAACAAGTTATTAAAATGAATATATACAGTATCTTACATTAATACTTTATCAAGTGATATAGAAATATAAATTACATAATCTTTTATCATTATAAATGCTATTTAGAATAAATATGTCATTTTTAATTTCAAATATATAATCTCTTATCATGTGATCTAGAATAAAGTATAAGTCATCGAGATGTATATTTACAATAATAATTTATAAGTTACGTTTTAATAATATCGTATCATGTAATATAAAATAAATTATAATATTTTGTATCATTACACATATTATTTAGAATATGTATTATTTTTAATTTCAAATATATAATCTCTTATTTTAATTCTTATAATTTAAAATAGTCGCATATCATTATTCATGTTATTAAGATTATCAAATAATTTCATATTATTATAAATGTTTTTTATTATCATTGTAATATATTATGATATATTCATGTGATTTGGATTTACTTTACTTGATCAATGACCATATTATTGGTTGTTGGATGTTATTTGTTATTAACAATTAAGTGTATATTATCATTTTAATTTTTTTAAAAGAAAATTATTTTTTAATCTTATTATATAAAGTTACAAAGAATAATATATATTTAATATGTTAAGATTTACATATGTAATGTATACATTACTAATATAAAAAATACTTGCATATTTTGAATGTATAAAAAAAATTGATACACATTTAATATGCATTTAACATATATATATATATATATTTTAATATATGCATTTAATATAAATGTGTACATAACTATATTAGTTTTTAATATCAAATCCAATATGATAAACTATTAAAGATTAAAAAATAAAATAATGATGTATCATGCTAATTTATATTATATTTATATTATTAATATAAAAATAATTTTATAATAATTATTAAATGAGTATCATAATTAAATGTTTAAAATAATCTTTATATAGTTTATTAAATAACTAATTAAGTATCATAATTAAAAGATTAAAATTAAAATAATTTTTATATGTTTATATTAAATTAAAATAAATATAAAAATATGTTATACGTCTTTTCGTAACATGTCATGAGTAAAACGTATATTCGTGTGACACTTTTTATTTAAATGTGTTTTTGTATTGTGTCACATGCTAAACGTGTATCTGTGTGATACATTTTTTGTAAATGTGTTTTTTGTATCTTACATGTGCTTAGACGTATCAACACATATAGGACACGAATTGTGTCATGTTGAAATTTGTGTCGACAC